CACAGTTTTAAGGGAAGTTAATCTAGTCGCGCCCAGAGGGAACCACGATCGACATCGTTAGATCTAAGAAAGCCTGCCTTGAAAAGGCAAATTGTTACTTAAACTGTTGTAACAGGGTAATAAAAGTATTATATATATTAAATAATAATGATTAATGCTTAATTTGTCCATAACAGAGTTAAGGCCAGTACTTTTGGTATAATTAAACCTTTGTTTTGATTTAATAAACTATGAAATTTATGTACAAAAAATATGTCGCAGTCCAATAACCAAGCTTTGACCACTGTCAAAATTAAAAGCTTTTTATTTGACAACATACGTTGTCACCATCAACAGATAACGTATGCAAGGAGGTCTTCCGCAATGTCGTTGATAAAGATAACGAATAAAAGAAGTTGGGATCCCTGAGGAACAGCCAAAGTTTGAGGGACAGTATCACATTTCAAAGCAAGGCAATGCACATACTAAGTAAGGTTACAGAGGTATGAATGAAACTATACCACTATAACTATAATAACTTTAACGCTCAATATACCTAGATGACAATCCATAGGAAAAAAAACCTAAATTTTCATATACATATGCCGTTCTGATGAGTTATGCAAACTTACATTGGACAAAGTCAATTTCAAAAATTTCGTTGAAATTATTGTAGTTACAAACAATAATTCCAGTTCTAAAAATGGTATGTCACGTACGTTTACAATTACTCCTCGTCTGGGTTCTGTTTCTTACCTAGAAATTCTCAAGAAATATATCAAGATTAGATTGGAAATTAAAACTGAAATTTCACTTTTTTTATGCGCTACCAAGCAGGTAGATGTTACAACCAATCAGTCGGCAGGAATATCCTTTCTATGATTCCTAATAAGATTGCACAGTTTTTGAAACTAGAACATCCTGAAACATATACAGGCCATTCATTCCGAAGAACATCGGCAACTTTACTGGCTAATACAGGAGTTGATGTATTAGCAATCAAGAGACATGCTGGGTGGAAATCAGTCACAGTTGCAGAAATATCCAACAGGATTCTTTACAATGATACTTCAACTCCAGGTTGTAGCAGTACATCGTGACTGAAATGGAACGGTCAAATCATTTTGAGAAAAATGTGACAATTAGTAAACGCGAGGGGAATAATTATCCAGATTTTATAAATGTTACTAAATATAATAACTGTACAATTACTATAAATATTCACTCATAATAATTAATAAAATATAATGTTCATCAAATATTTCTTGTTCATAAAATATATTTGGTAAGTATCTACATCTTCCCTGATTCCCTGATTGCTACGCTACATCCGACGCACAATTGTCAGAAATGTCAAATAAACACAAATACGCGTCCTTTAAAAAATTAACCAACAGAAATGGCCTCCGTTTATTACCTCTTTCACGATGCCGTACACACCCAAGAAGACATTGTCGTTAAATACTCGTAAGTAGAATATACGACAAATGACCGCGAAATATAGCTTGAAACTACAGGGACCAGGAGTATGTTTCGATGAAGTCGTACTTTGCCGCGGTTACAATCCAGAGGACATATCGTGGATACGCCGCAAGGAAGATTATTAAGACACTGCACGCGGCTGCAAGAATTATTCAAAAAGCGGTAAGAGGCTGGTTGGTAAGGTACCATTTGCCAGATATAATGCACGAGTATTACGATCAAATGTGCATCGATTTCTACACCAATAATGCAGTTAAGATACAAGCCACCTGGAAAGGTTATTCCGTAAGTAGTGAGACTCTTTTCCACAGGAGCAAAATGTAGTTCTCCAATTTTGATAAAAAGATTCCCAATTCCCGTAGCCTTAAAAACTATTTCTATTGTTCACAAACTGACTTAAATTCTCTTTACTTTATCCCACGCAATAATTCTAATCATTTCTTCTACAGGGACGAAAAATAATCTGCTTTGGAGATATTATGAACGAAAGAAAAAAAATAGCCGAAGCCAATGAAAACATGAAAGCTGCCTTTATTGAACTTGAGGCTAAACGTCACGAAATGCTAGACTTCGGGGTTGTGACAAAGATTATGAAGGTGCTGTTTGACAGGCACCATTTACTCAGAACTCACCAGAAAGAAGGCGTTTTCTCAAATCACCAGTCCAGGTGTGTTTATACAGGTTCGGAAAGTCCCCATCGTTCAAGTCACCTAACGGATTATATTAACATATCGGAATACGAAGTCGGAATTGTATAAGTAGTGACATCTGTTACAGAAAAGGCAAACGACGAAAACAAAGATGACCACCGGTCGCTGAATTACAAGTGGAAGTGGATCTTATTTGTGGAAGGGCGAAATGGGCGGTGACTATGAGACGCCTTCATTATAGCCATCCTTCTCTATCGCACGGATTTCTATGACTTACTTTATCGCTCTCACGTAAAGGCCGATGAACCATGGGGACTTTCCGAACCTGTATAGTATCTTCCGCGTTTTTCTGATATTTAAACACGATTCCTAAAAAATATTACGCACATCAAATTTTTCCTGTATGTAAATAAAAGTTAGAAAAGTGTTTACCAAACGGGAACATCTTTGTTTAGAGAACTATCTCAACTGGACAAGATTCTTCAGTCGACGAGATGGAAGAACTACATGAACCAATTAAGAAAATATTACAATAAATATAGCAAACAAAAATTCGAATACCAATACATGTTCGATGATAAAAAGTTGAGAAAGCTAGAAGACCTGCACAGGCAAAGGGATAAGTCACGAGACGTAAGAGTGGATTCTGGTGGAGAAGCAAGTCGGTATGACCGAGGAAATGGGTAAGTTAGTGTAACACAATACTACAGATAAAGAGTTAGCATCAAAAGTGAAAAGTTCAAGATGGGATGAAACCTCATCGGTTTGCCAAATGGCGCGATGTCTCTGCAGCGTTTTGCTGACATTCACCGTAGATTAACATCACAAGTTCATTTATTTCTACTCCTACAAAGACTAAATTTTTCAATTAGCGTAAATCCAGCTTTCAACGACACCCTGTTTTGCCTAAAATCTTAAATCTATTTTTACTTTTTTGGCGAGAAAACCGCTAACGCGGTTAACTATAGTTGGCTGTGGTTTGTCATTTTCGCGAGAAATTAAGTTAACCCGATTTGTCCGAGTTTGGATCGAGTTAATATCTCTGTCTTTGTCTAACTATTGTATGTCGCACACGTTAGTCAACAAGTTTGAGCAATTTCGCTTTCTAGAGAATTGACATTTATTAATAATGACATTTAAATAAATGTGGCTGTACATTTCACAATGACTATTGATGATTATTGAGGTTAGAAACACTAAACCCAAACCAAAATCTAACTCTAAATCCTAACACAAGAAAACAAGCTAACCAAGTTAGATGTTTGTGGTTTGTGTCCCCAAAAACCCTCAAACGAAAATTTGAGTCTGACAGGGATCTTAACTTCATTTAAAATTTTAGGCCTTCTAAGTTAGCCAGTCTAGATTGTTTCTAGGTTTATGTTTACTTGACCAGAGAAATCACTTAAAACTTACTTTTTAGAATGAATACAAAAACAGATCGAAAGCCATATGAGCGTTTGCTTTCTACAACTGGAAAGTACACGTTACCTATAACTAAAATTGTTCGAACTGAGGAGAAATGGAAGAATATTTGCCCTGAAGAGTTCGATCTCTATGTCCTGAAGAAGTTTGTGAAGGAGGCAGACGTACCGCCTTACTATATTAATTTCTGGTATGAGCAATGTAAAATTCACAACTTTTCAAACTAGCGTTCATGAGAATAAAATTGTTATCAATTTGTAATAATAGTAAAAGCATTATAATCCCCAAATAAATAAATTACTGTTACAATTTTATACTCCCAATGTTTGAAGATGCTAAATTTTTATTGTTACTATAAATGCTTAGATTTTCTGAAATTTTGCAGTTTCCCAGTATGCCTAAACACTATTGCTGGTACTTAGGTACGTATCACTACATTGTTAAAAAAAATTGAGGTTAGGTAATAGAACAGAAACAAACCAAACTAGAAACGTCACTAGGGACGTCGTACAGTATTTCTTCACAAAAATTAACAATTTATTAGTTATATCCATCAGCATTTTGTTTGTGTTTTATCTATGTCATCGTTTGTATCGTATTTTTGCAGGGTATAACAAACAAACAAACAAACAAAAAGAAGTAAGAGAATAATAAGAAACAGTTAATTTGTATAATTAAAATGCCTCCCTAGAAACTGATACTGAACTATGTCTCTATGAATTAAGTTTTCCATAGTTTGGACGTAACTTCTAGAAAGTTGTAAATAAAAGAGTCAAGAGTTGAGATATATTAGGTAGTAAAAACTTACCAAAAGATGGTTGTTAACAGAGTCTTGTAGATTGAAGAGAGGTTTAAAAATAATAACAGATATAACACAAATCACGGTAACTACGTTACTTTATAATCGACAATACACATAACAACAACAAACTTTCAAAATAACTCTCGCTACGTTACGAAACATGGTGACTTAATACATACGGTACCTGTGGCCTGTGCGCATGCTTGGAAGTTGTTCCCAACTGATAAAAACAAAATTCTAAATTTGTTTTAAAATTCCTGCACTATTAAATCTATTGATTTAAGAAGACACATGAAATCTTTGTCTTAATATTAATACCTTAGTTTTGTTGTACCTATTATTAATATTTTTTTTTTAATATGAAACCAGTTAATCATTACATTCAGTCGAACAGAGAAAAGAGAAAAGCGAAGGTACGTTTATAATTCTGTGATTACGTTTTGGTTTTATGAAAAAAAGATAAAAGAATTAACGAGTAAATGAGAATTCGAGACACAGAGTTAAACTGCTTTTATTTAATATTTTCTCTCAATAAAAAAAAATGCGACTAACAGTTTCATATCTATAAACTTGTAAAGGAAAAAATATATTTACACAAATTTACAATAAGAAGTACGTATTGGAAGGAGGTGAAAATACTATTTTAAAGTTTTTCTTCTCTTCTACTATGCCATCTGGTAATCAGGATAACAGGAAGTGACTGTACAATTGGGATCGAACAGTTTTGAAGCCGCCTGGAAAGCTGTCATGTCTAAACTGGGCTGGTGGTGGCTGGTCATCGTGTTCATCATATTGCCCTGGCTTATTGACATATTGCTGATTAGAAGATCCCTAAAAATAAATATTATCCTTAAGCCGAGTCGGAACAGGAATGATATATCGAGAATATAGGGTAGACTGGGATCGGACAATGTCATAAAATCAATCCTCGGTGTATAAAAAAAATAGTGACACGATTTAGAATTATCTAAATGTTGGTAATTTACTTTATGTTCTTTTAATTGATTATAAAGAGTAGATTTATTCGTAGACATCGCTAATACTGGTCAAATCCTTGTTTGAAAGTGTTGAACAGGCTTAACAGTGAGAATAAAAAAAGTTAAAAACAAAATTACCTTAAATTGTGAGAACATCGCTTAATATTTGAAAATAATAACATACAGAGCTGTCCCGCGTAAAGACCTGCCCCTGTCTCCCCTAATATAGCACTTAAGTGTACATAACGCTTTATATTCACTTTTCACTACTCTATTTGAACCCGCCTTTAGATTTGTACCTAATTTGAACCAGAATGCACTCGGTCTTACTCTGAATAAGCAAATACAACACTTAATTGACATTTCTTTTGTGTACAGTGGTACAAACTTTTGCAATAAGCTCTATTGTTTTTTACTTTTTCGCTCGCAGAGTGTTTATTAGTTTACTGTAATGCAGAACGTGCCTCCTACAAATTCCACTATTTATGCACGCTCTGCTTCCCCGCACGGTTTGTTTCTCTGTCCAGACCGTCATTTTTATGTCATCGGTGTTGTTTTTGTTTTCCAAGGTACAACTTGCCAACTATGTAGAAATAGTAACGTAAAAGAAATAGGTACTGAGTGTAGAGTTTATGAACGTTAATTTGGTTAAATTTTTATAAATTTTCAATGGACACATTTTAATAATCGAGATTTAATGCGAGATGTTTCAAAATTTCAACTGAATATCTTCGATATAAAGGAATTATTATTATGTTTTTAAATAGAGTACAGAAAGTAATTTCTAAGTACTTTTATAGTTGCTGAGATGCCAATTTAAGTTTAGTGGTGTAAAAAAACTTTAACTTGATTGGTTAAAAAACGTACTAATTTGTATTTCTTTATTGAAAATTGTCATATTGCGAAAACTAACGTCTTTCGGGATATTTCTGTTTAACTATCAAGTAAGCTGTATAGATTAAGTGCTTAAATCCAAAATGAAAATTGTCGCCAGGCTTAGTAATACAAAATTAATTCTAAACATTAATTACTGGACACAATTGACGGATTTTATTTCATTAATAGTATTTTAGTCCTCGAACAAATTTTTTTTATTTCATTTTCATGCTAAATACATGAATACACAGGTCCAATAAAGAAAATAAATAAAAATGCATGTATGACAGAATCATTAACCTTTCTATATAGAAACAAATGGTAAAGACAGAAGGTAAAGGATTTTTTTTCGCGATTTCAAAGAAATATATACGGGGTGTCCCACTAAAGTCGACGAGGTACGATATTAGAGAAAATATAGGCCCTAGAGCTTCGCGAAAATTAATTTGATTAATAAATCGACCAAGAGAAATCGCTGGAAATAGTTTTCAAGTTCGTAGCTTGGCCGGTAAGGGGCGCAATCTACATACCAAAACATGAAGTTGAATTTTTCAAGTATATTAAATATGACCCGTGTGGGACACCCTGTAGATAAAATAATTGACTGCTTTATTTCGAAGTCATTACAAATTTCCGTAAAAAGGAATTACTTTAATACCTGCATGTTTCTTCATATCAACTTTTGGTCTAAACTAAATCATAATAAATTATTAAATAAAAAATTACTAACGGCCTAGACTGCGGCGTCCTGTCCCTCTGTCGCCTGTTCTTGAACCAGTTGGAGACCTGCGTCAGCGTCAGACCTGTCCTTTTCGCTAGCGCCCTTTTTTCGTCGGGGGTTGGGTATCTGTTCCTCAAGTAGCACTCCTTCAGGGCGTTCCTACTACGCTCTTTGAAGCAGTAAACCGTTTCCTCCCCGTCCCATATCGTCTTCGGGAGAGGGTACTTTTTCCGCAGCCGGTATTTATCCACAGCACCTGCGAATTTATTAAATTTGTACAGGGCGACACGAAACTCTTAAAAATATTCTACCAGTAACGGCTTTTTATGTATGTAGTTTTCAAAAAAATGTGTAAAAGTAGCAATTCGTCGAATATTCTTGTCGAATATCATTCTGGCAAAGGTAAAAAAAGCTTTTTAAGTTAAAAAACAGCTATCTAACTTTTTCGAATTATAGTTCTTCTTACAATTCAAAAAGTGAAAACACAGGGTAGATATTTCCGATGTTTTTGTTTAAAATATGGTAGGATGTTGTCTGATTGTGTCAAATTGAAGATAACCTAAATACAGGCTGTTACAAATTCGCTCCCCACTACAGGGATCTCGAAAAAAATTAAGGCTAACATGATTAGTTTTCGAAATTTTGGAAATCCGTTTTTATTTAATTTCAGCCTTGTTTGAGGTGATATTGAAAAAAGAAGAACACTTTCTCGCAGCCACTTTTGCCCTTTATCGAATGGCATAATCAATTTTTGTATGCAACGTTTCGTCTCTCCAGAACCGTCATCAACTTCATTTTTTTAAACACGAACCTAGAAATTTTATTACATTTTTTGCAAGCCTTCATGACTCCCAATTCTGTACTGCCTCAGCCCGAACCAGATTCAGACGTTTTGTATCGAAAAATTCATCGTCAGTGTATTCGTTCCAAATTTATCTAAATTTTTTATTTAGATTTCTTTGTTTATTGAATTATCGTACACTGTAAGTGTCGTTAGACCCTGTGAAATCCATCTAACCAACACAAAAGACAAAAGTAATACCTAGTGGTCTTCCCCTTATCTTCTCCGCCTCGTTGTAGTGGGCCTTAAACCACAGAGTCTGGAGCTCCGGATGCCAACGCGTGTGGAAGGCGTGCGACTCCAGAATAGAGTACAATTCGTGATAGGAACCTCTGTGGAAGGCGACAGCCGCTCGCGCCCTGAGGATGCTTTCGTTGCCTCTAAGAAGCTCGGAGGGTGGTAGCGACCAGAGGAACGTCGCCAGCCGTTCTATGTCTCCACGCTGTTGGAGTGCTTCGCACATACATTGCACCTTCAAAAAAAAATATGTCTGTAAGTCTTAAATCAGGTTTGGTTATGATTAAAGTTTATTCGATAATGTTTTCAATTTCTAAACGAATTAGGAAATGCCAAGGGGGTCAAGTGCGTTAAGTGTCAGGAAATAAAGGCTTTGGGGGAAGCAGAAAAGCAGGTGGATTTGCTGGAAAGGAATATATATATCCTTCCTAGTGATCTAAACATACTTTGAGGGTATGGGATAAAGAGGAAGCATCGTTCAATTGAATCTCATTCATACTGAGACACCAAGACCAATATTGGATCATAAAAAGAGCGAATGAAATAACAAAACCTTTAAAACAATTTCTATTAGAAAAAACAGTACCCAGTCGTGATCTGTCATAGTAATTTCTAACGCTCTGATGGAGAACCGACCCACAGGGAATGATGTGAAAGAAGAAGATAGATACAGGGTTTTTGTGAACTTATTCAAAACCGCTGATGCTTATAAAATTGTTAAAACTGTTGAGAACTTCTGGAATCGTCCCCAACATAAACAGGGTGAATAGATAGACGCCGTTCGCCTTTTGTCTTATTTGTAAACATTGCTATTGGTTACTCTCAAAAATTCGACAAGGCGATTGGCTGTTATTTGATTGTGAGTCGAAATCATATTACAAAAGAATATACCTTTTAGTTTTCCTTTACAGAAGCTTGTCTCTTTTATAGTCGCTGATGAAAACTGTGAGTTTCACATTTTTATGTACAGCAACCCAAAAAAAATATTTGCAAAAAATATTTCTTTCAATCGATATTTCGCACCTTTCTAATTAAAAATGATAACATCTGTCCACATAATATATTTTTTCTCTATATTATGAAATTAAAATTAATCAATATGCAAGATCTGTATGAAACAACACAATCATGAGCGAAATATAAATGAAAAAAATGGTGTACCTTATAAAGCATAGGTAGCACTAGCTTGTCCACGATATATTTTTTTTACAGGAAATGAATCAGTAAAATCGGACAAGAGTTAATAAAAAGTTTAAATAGTTTTATGTTAGTAAGTACCTATTGTTCTGACTCGTAATTTGCACTTTTTTATTTCATCATCAGCAGCATTCACCTCTAGTTTTTGTAAGATTCCACGGTTTACATACTACTAGAGCTACTAATTACATATGGTAGTGATTTGTTCTGAAACTTCTTTATCGTCAGCATCTCCTGAGAAGATTCTTTTCCAGTATCTAACAAAATATGGATACTAGTCTTCTATTGGAGACGATGTCTAATAAATTTACAATTTGATGCCAATAGTTGGTAATCCTGTACCGTCATCATTTTCTGTTAATAATGCATTAAACAAGTTGGACATGTTTTTGAGATATAAGTGAATCTAAGAAATTGTTCTTACGGTCTCACAATCAGTATTTTCTGCACGATATTATTTATTGTCTTTAACATTAATCGAATGAAATATATTTTAACCGAAAGGTTGCGTAATTGCTTGTAAGATACCCAATCATTGGGTTTTTTTGAAATTTTATATTTAGTTAGTGCCCTATTTCGATCTTTTATAATTTGCTTAATTGTGGGAGTAAACCAAGGAGCTTAAGGTTTAGTGATAAGCTAAGATAAGATTAGGGAGCGTGTTTGTCAAATAAGTGCGTTATATTCTGACTAAGAAACTCAACTTCTCGTCAATGTTCTTAATATGTTGTCCCAGTCGATATTATTAATGTCTGAAAAAATCATCGGATGAAAAATTTTTTAAATCTCTGTTGTTATTTTAGGTTTAGGACGTTTATGATGAAAAAATAGTTCACAATATTCTGCTTTATGTGGTCTGAAATATGATCTGAAATATAATATGCTGAAGCTGAAGTTAATAGTTTAGAGACTGTAAATAAAAATAATTTTTAAATTTTCACCTTTGAGGGCCCGTAACTTGTTATCGAAGGCCCGTATGAAAAAATTTATAGGAAGAACTTATATTATTTTGGCCTCATCTATCTGTACTTTTTTGCATCAAGTACCGGGACACCCTGCATAGGATAACTAAGAAAAAAACAGATACATACCCACTTTACGACATTGAAATATAAAAAAATAGAACTATGACGAAGCCGACGATGGTGTGACAATTGCGTGTTAAATGTTAAACAGCACACTCTTTCTGTATGCGCATCATATTCAGTTATACCGTACGCTCTTAAAGTATGGAATAAATTCAGTAAAAACGAAACAAATTTTTTTTGGGAAAAATCCTCGATTTTCAATTTAAAAAATACATATTTTAGCCTAAAAGGCGATTTTCAACCGTCATTTGTTTTCGAGTAATGACGGTATTGATGATAATAATTTTTTAAATAGCAACCTCCTATTTTTTTCTTGATTCTGAAAGATCGTTTCATTGTCGATCCGACAGTATTAAAATGTTGCCATCTTAAGTACATAGGAAAGTTTTCGAGTAAATGACGATTGAATGTTAAAAAACGTAAATTTTATTCATTAAAAAAATAACAATTCCTATGTCAAGCAAATACAATTCATTAAGTTTTCTACACAAATTAAGTATTCGAATTGTCACCCACCGACTACTTGACAATACGCAAGTCTGTGTAGAAATTCTTCTTGCACATTATGAATTATTTCTGGGGTAACTCTATGTATTTCATCTATAATACAATTTTGGAGTTCTTCTAAATTATGTGGTCTATTAACGTACACTTTGGACTTTAAGTAGCCCCATAAGAAATAGTCCAGGGGTATAAGATCTGGGGATCTCGCGGGCCATTCTATCGGTCCTCGTCTGTCGATCCACCTCCTAGGAAAACAATTGTCCAGAAAATCTCGAATAGGGCGCGCATAGTGCGGAGGTGCACCGTCTTGCTGATACCATATGGTGTCATCAGGAATATCAGGGTCATTATCGTTAGGAAAAATTACTGCAAGCGCTGGAACAAGGTCATTTTGTAAAAACTCTAATTATCTTTCTCCTGTAAGGGTTCCTTCAAAGAAGAAAGGCCCTACTATTCTGTTGTCAAATATTCCAGCCCAAACATTTAATTTCTGTGGGTGTTGGGTATGTGTCTCTGTCATCCAATGAGGATTTTCCCGACTCCAATACCTGCAAGTTTGACGGTTCACTGTACCATTGAGACAAAACGTGGCCTCGTCTGAAAAAATTATTTGTCGGTGTAAATCTATATTTACTTGACATAAATCCATCATAATTTCACAAAAGTGTAAGCGGCGGTCGGGATCGTCTTCATTGAGTTCCTGCGTAAGTTGAATTTTGTAGGTGTGATATTGTTCCTTCCTAAGGATACATAGCACTGTGGTCTGACTAATTTCATTGTTCAATGCAACCAATCGTGAAGTATTATGAGGATTATCTACCATACTTATCAAAATGTACTGTTTGTGATCTTCACTAACGCTTGGAAGTCCAGGTTTTGGAATATCTACAACATTGCCAGTTTCTCTAAATTTATATTCTATCTTACTGACTGTTGATTGGCTGATACGGCGATCTGGATGTTTTTCATTAAATAAACAAATAAACTTCCTGTTGCGTTCTAGTCTGAACCCCACATCCGATAAGAATTAAAATTTCAATTCTTTGTTATGTCACTGCTTACGAAGATCTTCAGCGACATTACTGGCAGATGCTGGTGTGGATATCACGACAATAAAGCGTCATGCTGGTTGGAAATCAACGTCAGTCGCTGAGGGTTATGTCGAGAACTCCATTGAAAATAAGACCAAAATTGCTAATCAGGTTTTAGTAGGTACCACTACTAGCGCAATCACAAAAACTGTAAATGTAAGCGAAAGTAATATTCCTTTTAATATTAATTTTGAAAATTGTACAAATGTAACATTTAATTTAAATGTCAATAAATAATTTCAATGTTATCTTTTTTTTTGCATGAAAAACGTTCTCATGTAAACTCCCTTGGGAGCATTATACTCCCTTGGGAATAATTGACTACTTCTGTTTTAATTTTGATGTCATAGAAACTGATTTCTACTCCCGACCGTGGAAAAACTAAATTTGATAACGTTTTTGCTTTATTTTAATTGATTTGGGTTTTCTAACATTCAATCGTCATTTACTCGAAAACTTTCCTATGTAAGATGGCAACATTTTAATACTGTCGGATCGACAATGAAACGGTCTTTCAGAATCAAGGAAAAAAATAGGGGGTTGTCATTAAAAAAAAATGTCGATGACGTCATTACTCGAAAACAAATGACGGTTGAAAATCGCCTTTTATGCTAAACTATGTATTTTTTAAATTGAAAATCGACCTGTTCGAAGATTTTTCCCAAAAATATTTGTTTCGATTTTACTGATTGTGAATTTATTCCATACTTTAGGCGCGTACGGATATTTTATTTAACTAACCTGATCCGGCGAAAAACTCATAGACTTCTTCCCGTAACTATCGACATTGTTCAACTGTATGGTACCATCCGGAACCTTCTTGTCAACACTAACTATACTGCTATTATTGCTGTTATTATTATAATAATCCAATTGCACCGTCCTGCTACCAACGTCGTCTAGTTTCTTCGCGAAGCACTCGCCACTATTATAACTGAAAGTCCTCTTAGAAGATTCACATTTATTTAAAACACCCTTAGCATTCCCGTGAACGGGGTTCACCACACCACAATAATCGTCCCTCTTAAAATAGTCGACTTTCCCGTTGGTGCTCGTTTCCACCTTTTTCGCGATTTTGTCATTCGCGAAGTAGTTTTCCAGCCTACAATTGGCGGTGAAGTAAAAATTATCCGGATAGTAATTCAAGTTGTTAACATTGTGACAGTAGTTCCCCATGTGGGAGTCGCTGGACGCGCTGGAGGCTGCGTCTATTTCCATTTCGCGAGGTCCGCCACCTTATACCATGGACTAATCTTCAGAGTTCTTTAAATTCATTAAAAGTTTGCAAAATAAACACGCTAGTTGCTACAGAGATTGGATTACTTATGCGGTAATATTATGTAAAGCTAGAGCGTTTGTCCTGGGGAGGAGGGGCCAAAAGCTCCGGACGGCCAATGGCGAGAGCAGCTTTGGTGTCGTCATGCCAACTACCCTCCAAGTTCGTCCAATTGGACGGGGTGGTGCGGCTTTTATTGTTGTAAGGGTAGAAATTCTTTGCAAGGGTACTTTTATGAAGTTTTGTAGAGGAGCGCTGGATTTAATCGAGAGGATTCAGTTATTTAATTATAATATTGTTACAAACTGCTTCTTGTGAGCGTCAAACGGTTTTCTTTCGAAAGGTACAGCGGGCATATTTTCTATAGAAGTAGTTTTCCGTTCTGTTTCTATACAACACATTATGTGTAATCGCAATTCTATGCACAAAATGGTATAATAAAATTCTTTAATGTAATATACGAGTTAAAATGATAGCAATTAAGTTTTTAGATGTAGATGTAAATTATTTTTAATACGTATAATTATTTGAACAACGTGAATCTTCGGGTACTATAATTACATATTTTTCAAATACGTAATTTGATTAAAAGTTCGGTTTTAAGAGATTCATAATTACTAAAATTCGAGCTCAAATTCAGCGATACATTTTATTTTATTTATTTAAAAACTAGAAAACAATTGTCTGGAAATTTACTAAATGTTTCACAGTAATAGCTGTTTACATTTTTTCCGTAGGACAAGTCTGCCACGTGTACACGTGGTGTGCATCAGCAGGTTAAGCGCTGTTGTCATTTTGTGATGAAATTCCCCAATATTAATACTCGCTGTATTTTGAAAAATGTTAATCTTACGCCCTTGTAATATGAAACATTTTGGTTTATTTATGATTACTGTATCTCATGATGAAGCAATGACAGTCGAATTTCTTACACCCTGTATAATTGTTATTAACGGTAACCATTAATATTAATAATAATAATTATTATTATTTTATTTTACAAAACCACAAAATACAAATAATGCTAGGGATTACTAAAATTGATAATAAACAACAATAAACAATTAAAATATTAGTAAATAAACTGGAAAAAGTCACTGAAGCAGTTCTGCTACCGCTGTGTGACTAGTAATACGATTTAAAATTGTTATGTTATATGCTATGCACAATTAATTTCAAAACTTACAATAGTACCAGACAATACATATACAGTGTAGGAAAGTACCGATGGTCTATCAGATGTTATGTGAGAGCGATAAAGTAAGCCATAGAAATCCATGAGATAGACAAGGATGGCTATAAGGAAGGCGTCTAATAGACAACGCCCATTTCGCCCTTCCACAAATAAGAATTGGATCTTATTTGTGGAAGGGCGAAACGGGCGGTGACAAAGAGAAGCCTTCATTATAGCCATCCTTCTCTATCGCATGGATTTCTATGGCTTACTTTATCGCTCTCACGTAACTTCAGATAGACCATCGGTACTTTCCTACCCTGTATACATATATTTTTAATACCCAACGCCCAACATTAAATCACAATAAATTATCTACACATCATTATTTTAAAAGAGCTTCAAGGTAAAAACTAAACTTAATTTCTATTAATAATAATAATAATAATAATAATAATAATAATAATAATAATAATAATAATA